GTCCTCATAAGTATATCTGGAGTTATTTCTATTGTTAGGGAAAGAACTGGGTTATTAAGGAGATGTTAAGGTCATCAGATTGATTGAGGATGAAGCATTGAGGTTCTTCTAGGTTCCAATTCTCTTGTTAGGGCTGCCCTTGGGTTGAATTGTGAGAGGTTAAACAAGGCTTCTACTCTCTAGAAAGGACTGCAGAGGAAGGTGTCTGGGGGGAAGTGAGGGAGAATCAATTTACTGGAAAAATATGACACAATGCACAAGATTCAGTGCAGAAAAGCCTGATGCCTAGAAAAATCAAAGGCAATAGAAACAGAGACCTAGAGACTATCACTAATGTCACAAGCCTGAGTTTGCAGGGCTTATAAAGCAACAATTGCTGACAACTTGCAAATAGCACTTAGACTTATATACCGCTTCACAGGACTTTACAGCCCTCTCTAAGCAGTTTACAGAGTCAGCCTATTGCCCCCAGCAATCTGAGTCCTCATTTTAATGACCTCAGAAGGATGGAAGGCTGAGTTAACACCTTGAGATGGTGAGTCTTGAACTGCCTGCAGTACTGCATTCTAACCACTGCGCCACCACAGATCATGGTATCTGTCATGTCATGAAAAGTAGAAGCGATTGAATAACTGAACAACAATTAATAGAGTTAAATTAATGACTAGTCTAACAATGTTTTTAAAATTCACCTCCCTGTAATCTTTCACTGCAACCTAACTATTAGCTAAAAGAGAAGTTAGCTTCGAACTATCCTTTATCAAATTGTACAATTTTCTTAGGTTGCTCACAAAGATAGGAATTACTTATTTACAAGCTTGCCCAGGAATATGTTCAGCAATGGGCATCGCTAAAAAAGGATTTGGATAAATATATGCAGAGGAGATGTCTGCATCTCTTCAGGTTCAAAGGCATGGACCTACTGCTTCTCTCATTCCCTTCCCTCCCTCCCAGCATGCCTCTAGAGCTCAATGGGAAGATCTGCAGAAGAAGTTGAAATGAATTCAACTGAACATACTTAGTATCTCTGATTAGAAATTCTGCAATGCAGAAATAGGCATCACACACAAGGATTCTGGGAGAAGGTTTGGTGTGCTAATCCTATCACATTCATATATATATATATATATGTATATATGTTTATATGTATATATGTATATATGTATATATGTGGATCTTTGGTTGTTCGGGTTTTCTCCCGCGTAAGATTCGAAGTATCTAGGCAACGTTTCGATGAAA